ATCTTTTGGGCTGTATTTCTGACACCTGTTCAAAGGGCGACCCTGGGGGGTAAGTGAGAAGGGGCTGGTCTCCTTAGAAAGGTCGGAAGACCCCTGGCCTTCTGAGAAGTTTCCCAAGCCCTCTCCGAAGACACAGGAAGCCTCTCAGAAGGCCGGTGCGCTTCTGAGAAGCCCCGCCGCCCTCTGAGAGGGCCTCCTCCTCCTCGCTTACCCCCTCGCTCGCCGCCGACGTTCTCACGAAGAGGAGGAGGAGGAGGAGGAGGAGGAGGAGGAGGAGGAGGAGGAGGAGGAGGAGGAAGAGGAGGAGGAGGAGGAGGAGGAGGAGGAGGAGGAGGAGGAGGAGGAGGAGGGGGAAGACCAGTGTAAACCCAAGGGCCATCAACGATGTTGGAATACGCCCTTCATCCAAGCTCCCTCTTCAGAGGCCCCTATAACGGCTCATTTCCATTGAGGGAACTGCCTCGTTGGAAGACAACCGTTTGAAGACCCGGAAGCATGCCAAAACATTGTTCTCGGGATTCCAACGCCACGGATCAAATTGGGAGTTGCGTCTTGACGATCCTGGATTGTGCCAGAACGCCCCTCATGGGATTTCAACACAGCGAATCAACGTAACTGTCGCGCCCGCAATCTTTCCCGTTGATCATGGGAATCCGTAAAACTCGTGCAACTGTTATAAACGAATGTGCGCGGCGCTAAGGCGAGACCCACATGTTGAAAAGGAACCGCCCTCAATCCGTGAAGCTCTTGCAGATGTTTACAACGAATGTGCGCGACACTACTGCGAGAGCCAAATTTTGAAAACGGGTTGTCCACAATCCGTGAAACTCTGGCATTTGTTCAACGAATGCGCGGCGCTAAGGCGAGAGCCACGTTTTGAAAACGGGTCGCCCTCAATCCGTAGAACGAATGTGCGCGGCGCTAAGGCGAGAGCCACATTTTGAAACCACACGCCTTCCATCTGTGAAACTGTTGTCTATTTAAAGCGGGCCTCTGGGTGCGACAGGGAGAAGTTATCTATAAGGGAAGGAGAGGAGAGGAGGAGGAGGAGGAGGAGGAGGAGGGAGGAGGAGGAGGAGGCGGAGGAGGAGGGGAGGGGGGAGGAGGAGGAGAGGAGGAGGAGGAGGAGGAGGAGGAGGAGGAAGGAGGAGGAGGCGGGAGGAGGAGGAGGAGGAGGCGGAGGAGGAGGAGGAGGAGGAGCAGGAGGAGCAGGAGGAGGAGTAGGAGGAGCAGGAGGAGCATGAGGAGGAGGAGGAAGAAGGAAGAAGGAGGAAGGAGGAGGAAGGAGGAGGCGCCCCCGAGGACCGAGCCCCGCCGCGATGTCCAGCAAGGCCTGGGAGTTCCTGCTGCCGGACAGCGGGCAGCACCAGGCCCCCCGCCCGCCTTGGTGGCGACCGCGCGGCTCCTCCTTCGAGAGCTCGGCCCCGTTTTCTCTGCTGGTGGGGTCGCCGCCTGCCTTCGCTTCGTGATCCTCCACACTTCTCTCTCCCCATCCTCCATCCTCGTTCTGAGTTCTCCTTCATCCTCTTTCGCGTCCCCGTCCTCTGCCCCTCCTCCATCCCTCGTCCCTCCGCGCTTCTCCGCCTCCAGCCCTCCAGCTTCCATGTGCCATCCCCCGCTATCCTCCTCCATCGTTGTACATCCTCCTCATCCTCCTCTCCCTCCCCCTCCTCCTTCCTTGTCGGCCCTCATCCTTTATCCTTCTCCTCCTCCTCCTCCTCCGCAGTCCACTATCCTACGCCCTGCCTTTTTTTAATCAATTTGTTTCGACCATCCTCCTCCTCCTCAGCCCTCCTCCTGCTCCTCCTCCACCTGCCAGGGCCGTCTGAGCTTCTTTGCGTCCGGTGCCCTCCTCTCTGCTCCTTCTCCCTCGTCCCCCGACTTCCCCAGCCCGGCTCGGTCGGCCCCACGACGCTCAGCACAGGATGCGGATGAGGCTCCACGGGGCCGAGGCGGCCAGGGCCGCGCTTCGCGGGCTGGCCCGCGGGAGCCCGTGCGCCTCGCGGCGCTTCGCCGCGTGGCGTCCGCCAGGTGCTCGTCCCGACGGCGAGGGTCGCGGAGCCGCGTGCTGCGGTCGGCGGTCCAGAAGCTGAGGTCCCGGGGGATGGGGTGGGGGCCCAAAGGATATGCACCACCACCACGTCGATTCCTCCTCTCCCCTCTGGGCCAGCGAGAGGGAGAGGGGGGGAGGGAGGTGGTGGCGGTGTTTATTTTTTGGCCCCCCATAGGGGTCCCGAGGACGAGGTGCCCCAGGCAGCGTATAGGTCCACCCTCGGGGCCCCTTCCCGTCCGTGGGGCCCCCTCCCTCGGGACCCCCCTCCCTCGGGACCCCCTCGGGGCCCCCTTCCTGTCCGCGGGGCCCCCTCCCTCGGGGCCCCCCCCTTCGAGCCACGTGCCGCGGGCGCCTGCCGCGCCCTCGGCGGGCGGCGGGCCGCGCCATCGAGCCCTCTGCTGGCCACTCCGGGCGCGAGCGCAGCGGCTCGGCAATTCGGGCGCGCCGCCGCGGCGGTCGCGCAACAGAGCACGTGCGCTGTACTGAGAGGCTTGCTCGCTTTGGCGACTGGCTCCCTCGAGCTCAATCGTGTGAATTGTCCGCTTCCAAGTTCTGCCCCAGACTGGTCGTGGGCGGTGCTCTCGGGTCCGTGCCGCCGCCGCGGCGCCACAGGATGGCACGGGGAGGCCTGTCCTGCCCCGCGGGGGGCGGCTCTCTCTCGCGCCGAGGCTTCGGGGGGGGGGGGGGGGCGAATGCCACATGGCATTTGGGAGGGCGCGCGTGCCAAGCCCTCCAAGTCTTGGCGCTCTGTGGGTAACTATGGCGACAGGGGGTGGGGCGGCCACCAGTATAGACCTGCGCGCCGTGCACCTCGGCCCTTCAGGCTTTGCAGCTGCTGGCCCTTCGTGCCATCCTCTTCGGCCCTCGAACTGCGGCCGGCTCCCCTCGCGTCTGTCTCCCACGCAGTCCTTGCTCTCTTCCTCGTTTTGCCGGATTTCGAAGCGGACCTGACCACATGGCGACGAGAACGCCATTGGAGGCTCCGACAGAGCGGAGAACAGCTTAAAAGCATTGAGCGCCGCATTTGGAACCTGAATCCTGCACCTCCTCCCTCGACCCTGTGCCGCCTCGTGTCGTGACTGCCTGCGCGTCGATTTCAAACACCGCCTGCAGCTTTGAAGGATGGCGGCATCCTTGAACGATCGCGGCATTCCGACAGCGCAGATCGTTCAACACCGGTCGATTCTTGACTGCTGGCGTCGTTCATTCTGATCTCTCGCGCCAGGGGCGCCGCCGTGTCGACACGACGCGAACCTACCGCAGTGGAGGAGGAGTTGCTTCCCAGGGGTCGTTCTGCACCCCTGGATCTGTTGGTGAGGGTCCGACAGCAGCTCCCAGAGGCCAACATCGAGGCAACATTCGCAAGAATGGGGAATCGAGCAAGATCAACCTCAATGTTGGCAAGCGGGGCCCCCTACCAGCGAGCTAGTGAGCTGTGACGTTGAAATCTCTGTGGTGGAAGCCACGTGATCTGAACCATGTTGTGTAAACCATATGCTTCGAGCTTCGCGGTGCAAGCCACGTGTTGGAAGCTACGTGGTGTAAGCTGGGTTGTGAAAGCTGCGTGGCGTGAGCAATCTGGTGATATCTAATGGCCTCGAAGCTCCGTGGCGCAGGATCTGTTGTGCAAGCTCTCTGTTGCGAACCGTGCTGTGGAAGCTGCGGGAAGGTAGAACGTGGCGTGGCGCCCGCGAGGCCCAGGATTCGGACACGGCGCATGGAGGTCGCGGGGCCGTGCCAAGGAACTGCGTTCGGTGGCTTTCACGTGGCCACCGCATGGGCTCGCGGCTCGCTCGTGGCCCAGGCTGCCCGGTCGCACACTTCAAAGCAACGCAAAGCAACCCGACTACGCATATGAAGAAACACTCGTGGGGAATGCGCGTGCAGGAGTGCCATAATTGACAGGGGGCAGGTTGGACCACCGATCCGCTCATGCGGAAGCGGAGAGGTTGCGACGACGTTCCTCCCGGTCATTTTCAGTTTCGCCTGGCCGGAGGCTTCTCGTTGGAAAACCTCTTGGGGGCCTCGCGAATGTCTGCCAGGGGCTGTTGGGACCTCTGGAGGCCTCCCGGGCGCCTGTGGAAGGCCTCTGTAGTCTCCCTCGGGCCTGTTTGCCGGGAGCCACGGGTTCCCTCAACGACCAGGTCACGATGCGAAGTGCTTCTTGCGGCGAAATTCCATCAATGTTGCCTCTGGAGCTTTTTTGGGGGTGTGTCTGTCTGGAGCCCCTGTGGGCCGCTGGGGCTCTCTCGGGCCTTCCTAGAGCTCTTCTTCGGCCTCTGGGGGAGGGGGCATTGGCCCTCTGCGGGCCTTCTTGGGGGCTATCTTTGACCCGATTGGGTACCCCCCATGGCCCTCGTGGGCTTTTCTTGGGGGCCTTTCGGGGGCCTTGGGCGTTGTTGGAACCCTCTTGGGCCGTTGTAGGGCTATCTGTGGAGCCTCTTGGGCCGCCTTGGGCGCTGATAGGTCAAAACAACGATTATGCAAGCAATGCAATCAATGCACCTTTTCTCTAGGGCATGGAACGGTTTTTGCCTCTTGGGGGTCTTCTTGAAGGCCTCTTGGCGCGTCTTGAGAGTTTCCCATGCAGCTCCCTGATGCATTCCACCCAACCCTCTGGGGCATTCCATTGAACCCTACGGGGTATTCACCCATCACCCCCCCGTGTACAGGTACTCCGCTCAGCCCTCTAGGGCCTTCGAAGGTGTGTATTATTCCACCGATCCTTCCCCACCTCGCCCAGTTCAACGCGCCTGCGCAGAGTGCGTCGTACGCGCAAGCGTGCTTGCATGCCGCAGGACGTTGTATCATTCGCCGTGCCTCTTACGTCTCTCGTCGTTTGTGCGCAAGCGCATTGCACGCCACCTCTCTCTTTCTTTGTGTGTATATATATAAAAAAAAAAAAGATATAGCCGAACGGAGCTTGATACCTTCTCTTCTCGGACAGGTGCTGGTCGAGCGGCTGGGTCAGTCTGACCAGCGGTGGTACATTGACGGGGTGGCGCAGCCCAGCAGCTCCGTGTGCGAAGGCGCCTCGTGGGAAGGGGAAGGGGAGAAGATGGTGAACCCCGTCGGACGGGGCGCCTCTGTCGCGACGGTAGGTGCGTTGCTCGGCGTCCAGAAGGCTTTGGGTGGCCACGGGTAGCCCAGGATAGTGTCGAACAGTGCCGGGTGGCCTTGGGTAGCCTCGAGCAGCATCGGACGGTTTTGAGTATGGCGCGGGGAGCCGAACCAGGTTTGCGCAGACAAGGTGCTCCATGGGTCGCTAAGGCGACGGGCGCAACGGGGAGGAGGAGGAGGAGGAGGAGGAGGAGGAAGAAGAGGAGGAGGAACAGGAGGAGGAGGAGGAGGAAGAGGAGGAGGAGGAGGAGGAGGAGCAAGAGGAGGAGGGGGAGGACCAGTGCAAACCCAAGACTCATTCATCAACGATGTTGGGGTACACCCTCACTCCAAGCTTCCTCTTCACGCGCCCCTACAAGGAGCCTTTCCCACTGAGGGAGGTCAGCCGTTGAGAGACAACTGTTTGAAGATCCTGAAGTGTGCCAAAGCAGTATTCTCGGGACTTCAACGCCACGAATCAACCTGACTGTTGCGTCATGACGATCTTGAGTCGTACCAGAACGCCTGTCCTGAGACTTCAACGCTGCGAATCAACGTACCTGTTCCGCGCTGACCTTCTCGAATCGCTGCGCACGTTGCTTCTGGCACGTTAGTTAAGGAATCCGTGAACATCTGGCAAATGTTTTAGACGAACGTGCGCGGCACAAGGGCGAAAAACACATGTTGAAAAGGAACCTCACTCAATCCGTGAAGCTCTTGCAAATGTTTAAGACAAGTGTGCACGGCGCGAAGGCCAGAGCCACATCTTTTAAACGGCACGCCCTCAATCCGTGAAACTCTTGCGATGTCTTGCGACGAATGTGCGCGGTGCTGGGGCGAGAGCAACATTTTGAAAAAGACCCGCCCCCATGAACCTCTTGCAAAGTCTTAACACGAACGTGCGCGGCGCTGAGGCGAGAGCCACATTTAGAAACGACCCGCCCTCAATCCGTGAAGCTCCTGCAAAGTCTGTATACGAAGGTGTGCGGCGCTGAAGCGAGAGCCACATTTTGAGAGCCAAGGTGAGGAAGTCTCGGGCGAAACGCCCGGCCCGCCCTTCCGACGGGCCTCGGGGTGCGACAGGGAGGAGTTCTATGGAGTTCTCTATAAGGACATGGAAGGGAGGAGGAGGAGGAGGAGGAGGAGGAGGAGGAGGAGGAGGAGGAGGAGGAGGAGGAGGAGGAGGAGGAGGAGGAGGGGAGGGGGGGGAGGAGGGGGAGGAAGGGGGCGGAGGCGGAGGAGGAGGAGGCGCAGGCGGAGGCGGAGGAGGAGGAGGCGGAGGCGGATGAGGAGGAGGAGGAGGAGGAGGAGGAGGAGGAGGAGGAACATTTCTGTGGGCGGGAGCGGTGGGAGCGTGGCCCCTCTCGCCCGCCCCGCTCCCGCGGCGGTCCTCGTCCTGCTGCTGCTGGTGCTGCTGCTGCTGCTGCTGCTGCTGGACCCCGGCAGGGCAGCATCCGGACTGTCCCGTCGGTGTCGCTTCTTCTGTTCGTTAATTCCTCGGCGGCGTGCAGCCGCAGCGGCCAGCAGGGCAGCGTCCGGATTGTCCCGTCGGTGTCACTTCTTCTGTTTGTTGGCTCTTCGGCGGCGCTCAGCCGCAGCGGCTCACGCCGAGGCTCGGGAGACTATTTGTTCTGGCCTGCGGCCTGCGGGTCGGTTTGGCTCCAAGGTGAGGGCGCGACGCTCCACCGAGCCGCGGGGCATCTTTGCTCAGGCTGGCCGCCTGGTCAGTTGGAGGCCTGGTCGCTCGGCGCCGACGTGCTGTTTCTCTTCCTCTCCTCCTCGTCGTCCTCCTCCTCCTCCTCCTCCTCCTCCTCCTCCTCCTCCCCCTTCTCCTCCTCCTCTCCCCCCTCCCTTGGCGCCTTTGTTCTGTACGTTCTTTGATGCACGCGTGCATGAGCCGGGCACTCTAGCAGGGCGGGCCGCTGTTACTCAGCGGGCCTCCAGCGCTCGCCGGACGGGGCTGCTTCCGAAGTGGATTATATGGTATGGTTGTTGTCCTCTGTCCCGCCCCCTCCCTGCTTTCCCCTCCCCTTCTTCCTCCCGGCGCTGCTTTGCAGCATCCGCCTGAATACCCGGGGCGCCCGAACGTTGGCCAGGGGAATTCCGGCCACGTTCGCGGGGCCGCCAGTCTAGCTTTGGGCGCTTGGCGTTTATCTGCCCGCTTTCCCGTTCATGCTCCTCCCCCATCTTTCTCTTCCGCCTGCGTATGCTGGAGCGTGCAGTCCATGTTGGTGTCCTTGAGTGGCCCGCCTGTTTCGTGCGCTCGGCGTGGTAGCTGTCAGGTAATCCATGGCTGCTGGCTGCTGCGTCAGCGCGCTCAGTGTTTTGGCCTGCAAGCTCTGTCTCTCCTCTCATTCCCCTCCTTCCCTCGTTGCCTCCTCCTCCCCCCCCTCCTCCCTGAAACCAGCTGCCCGAGCCATCAAGCGGATGGCGATCATCGCCTTTGTCCAGGCGGCCCTTCTCTCTGGCATGGAGGCACGTGTTCCTGATGCCTCATTCTGCGAGCAGGCGGACAGGGTGTTGCTACTAGCGATGCGCAGGGGACTGGGTCTGCAGGGAACCACTAAGGGCGAAGACGGGGCTATCCGACGCTGGCCATCAAAACATGTCTGGGAGTATTGGAAGATCCTGCCGACCTCCGCTGAGCTCCGGGTGCGTCGTCTGGGTTGGCTTCAGAACTGGGCCCGCTTTCCCGAGGCCCACCGTCAGGTTCGAGCGTGCATCCTGGGGACCATGGGAAGCTTCGACACAATCGACTCCGACTGGAACCTCACCCCGAAAGCCAACCCCTGGGCCCAGCAGGTTCTGGAGGACCTGAGTTTCGCCCATGATCACTGCGAGGATTTCTACATGCTAGTCCCCTCGGGGTACCCCTTGCTGAAGTTGCTCTACATTGACGAGTTTAGGGACTGGGCCTACCTGGACTTCACGGTCCTACGAGCGGCGGCCTACTCAAAACAGTTTGCCCCTCCTGAACACCACCCCGAGGCTCCAGAGGTCCCCGAGGCCGAGGAGGAGACGGCCCCCGAGGGCCAGTTCGTCTGCAACATGGTGCTCACCACGGGCGCCAAGTGTAACGAAAAGTTCAGCACCATGAAGGCGCTCCTCCTCCATGCGGGCCGAGCCCACCGCGTTCGGAATGAAGCTGCCCTCCTGACAGTGACTAACCAATGTTTCAGATGTTTACAGGTCCTTAGCACGAAAGAGAACGCGGAGAGACACGTCATGAGGTCGTTCAAACGAAACATCTGCTGCCGCGGGAGGAGCTCTTTCTTGGCGCAAGACGTACTGGTCCCCAGCGAACTACTGTGTCCAGTATGTAGGCATTGGGCTCAAAGTCTATTCGACCTTCAAGTACACATACGAACTCATTGCTCACTACCCCAGCCCGAAGTGAGACACCGTCGACAGCTGAATGGCTCGTGGCTCGGAGGAGAACGTGGACCTGATGGACCTCGGTGCGCTGATAGAGCTCGGCAAACGGAAGGAATCCCCTGGCGGGGAAGGAGGAGCAAGGTCCAAGGGGCGCAAGCTGGCAGAGGCAGCGGACGACGCAGAGGACACACTGAACCAGGTCGAGAATGCTCTTCGAGGAAAAGACGTTGCTGCGGCGCTCTCCCTCCTCCTAAAAGGTTTCTGCATGCACTCACAGCTGCTGCGCGACGTGGCGGCAGTGGTCTGGGTGAGCGTGATCCTCCCATCGACCTCGCCGATTATTGTGGCTTCCAGGGCCGCTGGAAAGCTCTACGCCGAGGCGGCTGGTCTAACATCGGTGAAGGACAAGCTTGGGCCACCTCATTTACACATTGCGCGCGCAGGGTTCAAGTGTCTAGTGGAAGCCGAATCGAGCACCAAGATCGGGGGGGAAGCGCTGGAAGTGGTACAGTTGTTCTACAGCAAGTTCGTACAGAAAGGACAGATGCAGGAGCTCGGATTATCGATCCGACACTATCGCTGCAAGAAGTGCTACAACGAGGACATGACACGCCTCCAGTTTGCCATAGTGGACGGGGTCAACCTGCAAAGCGACAGCGGCGAGCCCACAACCTATTCAAAGCTGATGATCGAGAACGCGACGGTGGTGCTGCTCAGGGGCATGGGCGGAACACTCAAGCAGGGGACGGCGCCTCAGGGTCATCTCGAGAATCTCGCACAGAAGATGCTGGACAAGCACAAGCTGGGCGGCAAGGGCAGAGGCAAGAAGTAGACGGCGTGACATGGGAGATGCGACTGGCGGCTTTGCAAGCACGTATTGCGGCAAAGGAGCTGGCAAAATCCTAGGCGCTGCCTAGGTTCAGACGTCGCCATGTTTTCGCCTGCGCCTCGAAACAAATCCTGAGTTCCCTCAGGTTCAGTCGCCATGTTTTCGCCATGCGCCTCGAAACAAATCCTGAGTTCCCTCAGGTTCAGTCGCCACGACGCTGGACGCAGGGGAAACTCCACACTACTTTGATTGGGATGGTTGTCTGTACTTAGATTTTCATTGATTGGCTGTTCTCGGACGCAGACCACGCCCAGCTGACCTCCACTGGCGGCCAGATCGGGAACCCAGATCGTAACCTCTTGCTCTGGTCCCTCCTCGCCGCGCTGGGCATGGTAATGGATGTGCTCTGGTTCGTTCAGCCCTTCGTCATCTAACTTTGAGGCCCCGCCCGCCACGCTCGACAAGGCGGGAGTGTTCGCTTTGCTGTCTACAGTCGGTCTTTCCTCTTGCGGATCCGAACCCGACGAAGGGCCCACTCCGACGCTTGCCAATCGGATGCCTTCGGGGCCCGGGTGTCAGGTAGTGGAGAGGGCCCTCTCGCCTGGGTTGTCGATCTGACCTTCATATAGATATTCATCTTTTTTGTTCAGGGCTGGGTGGATGCCTCGGGAGCCTGCCTGGCACACATAGTGCCGCGAGGCTTCGGCCCCCTCGGGGCCAGAGGGG